ATGCAAAAACAAGTAAGTATAAATATTCTTATATGGTCTCTGGAGATCATTTTATATCACTGTAGAAATTGAATTTTGGCAAACAGCTCCATGCTGTTCCACTGTATGTTGAATTAATCTATCCCTTATTGAAGGGCTAATGTGTTGCTTCCAGTCTTGCTATTACAAACAGAATTACAATGAATAATTTTGTGTATACATTCTTTGGTATATGTGCACACACATAGCTAAACTATGAATTCTTAGAAGTGTGACTGCTGGGCTCAAGCGAATATGTAGAATGCATAATTATTGCTTAATTTTCTTCCTATTTTTATGCTATCTTATACTCCTATAAACAATGTATGAAAAGGTGTTTTTCTCTGTAACCATTCCAACAAATTGTGTTTCATTATTTTGTATCTTTGTGGATCCAAAGGTGAGGAAAGTATCTCAATGTATTTAAATTTGCATGTATCTCATCATGAGTTAGGTTGCATACATCGCATTATGAGTTAGGTTGAATATCTTTTTATATGTTTCAGTGCCCTGTGTGTATTTTAAATGTCTCCCCCACTCCAATTTAAGCATTTTGAAGAAAGGGAATATGTTTTATGCATCTCATACTTTCCATAGTATGAGTGTGGAAAATAGAAAGCATTTAATAAATATATTTAATGAATAAATGATAGAATCACTGTGATTTCTCGTCTTATATTATTTAAGATACTTTCAATAACATATTTTCTAACTTTTGGATCACATTTGTTTTCCTGGAAAACAATATTATGTATAAAATTCTAAAGAATCCACTAAAAAAATTATTAGAAACAGTAAATAAATACAGTAAAATCGCAGAATACAAAATAAATGTACAAAATTCATTGTGTTTCTATACACTAACCGTAAAATTTCAGGGAAAAAAGTGAAAGAAAATCTATTCCTTTTGCAATTGCACCAAAAAGAATAAAAGACCTAGAAAGAACCTTAAAACATGTGAAGGACCAATACATTGAAAACTATAAGACATTATATTAAAAATTGGGGATGACACAAAGAAATGGAAAGATATTTTGAGTTCATGAATTGCAGGAAAAACAGTTAAAATGGCCCATACTGCCCGAAGCAATATAAAGAATTAATGCAAACCCCAGAAAAATTCCAATACCAATTTTAAATGAAATAAAACAAAAAAAAAATCATAAGATTTGTATGGAATATCAAAAGACCCAAAATAGTCAAAATAATCGTGAGGGGGGAAAAAAAAGTTCTGACATATCACACTACCTGACTCAAATTATACTACAAAGTGATGATAATCAAAACAGCATTGTATTAGCAGAAAAATAGACAGAGACCAATGCAAGAGAATTGTGAGCTCAATATATATATTTCCCACATATATATGGGCAAATAATTTTCAACAAAAAGCCAAAAATATAGAGTAGAAATGAAAACCTCTTCAATAAATGATTCTGGGAAAACTGGAAAGCCACATGCAAAAGAATGAAACTAGACTGCTATCTGTCACCATACACCAAAATTAACTCAAAATGGAATAAAGATCTAAATATAAGACCTGAAACAATACATTGCATAGAAGAAAACATAGGTACTAAACTCATGGACCTTAGATTTAGAGACAATTTTATGAATTTGACCTCAAAGTTAAGGAAAGCATAAGCAAAAATAAATGAATAGGACTATATCAAACTAAAAAGCTTCCTTCTGCATGGAAAAAGAAACCATCAACAAAACAGAGGCAACAAACCCAGTGGAGGAAGGTGTTTGCAAACAACATCTTCGATTAGGAGCTAATATCCAAAATATATAAAGAACTTATACAACTCAACAACAACAACAACAAAACAAGCAATTCTATTAAAAAATGGGCAGAGGACCTGAAAAGACACTTCTCCCAAGAAGATAAACAAATAGCCAACAGACATAAAAAGATGCTGAATTTCACCTAGCTATTAGGGAAATGCAAATCAAAACCACAATGAGCTACCACTTCACACCTGTAAGCATGGCTATTATCAACAGACAAATAATAACAAGTGTTGGAGAAATTGTGGGGAAAAAGGAACCCTCAAAAACTGCTTGTGAAAATGCAAATTGGTACAGCCATTATGGGAAACAGTATGGAGGTTCCTCAAAAAATTAATAATAGAATTATCTACCATATAACCCAGCAATCCCTCTTCTGGGTATCTACTCCAAAAATTAAAAAAACGTTTAGTTTTAAAGATATATGCACCCCGATATTCATTGCAGCATTATTCATGATGACCAAGATATGAAAATAACTGGTGTCCTTTGATATATGATGGGATAAATAAGATGCGACACATATATACAATGGAATATTTCTCAGCCATAAGAAAAGGTGTAATACTGTCATTTGCAACAACATGGATGAATCTTGAAATTATCATGCTGTGTGAAATAAGTCTGAATGAAAGTTGAGAACCATATGATTTCACTTATATTTGAAATATAAAACTAAAAGCAACAACCAATAAGACAAACAAATAAAAACTTATAGACACAGTCAACATTATGTGGTTATCAGAGGAAAGGAGTGGGGAGATACATAAGGGTAACAGGGGTCAAATACATGGAGATGGAAAGAGATTTGACTCTGGGTGAACACACAATGCAATATACATATGATATATTATTGAATTGTACACTTGAATCCTATATAATTTTATTAACCAATGTCACAGTAATAAATTTAACAAAAATTAAAAATAAATATATCTATATTACAGAATATTTAGAAGAATAAAAAATTACTTATAAAAGTAATTCAAAACATTTATTTATCTATTTTTCTAATCATTTCCCATAACAGGTTTTGTTTTTCAGATATCAACAATCATATTGTTAAATTTTGATGCTTTTGAAATTCTACTTTCTTCACTTAACAGTACAACAGGAACTCTTAGTTGTCTCTTTTTCTAAATCATGAATTTCTTGATGAAGATATCAGAACTTATTCTTTTCTCTTGCTCCATTTCTAACAGAATAAATATTAAATGAGGATGCTCATCATTTGGGGGATTATCTGAGAAGAAAATAAACATTTTTCTCAGCCAAGGAAATCCTAAACATGGAACATTTCAATTTTTTCTGTCTTCATGCTACTTTGAACTCAAACTCCTCACTCCTAATTCATATCCAATGCTAAATCTTTAACATACTTTTTTTTGCACTGATTTGGGTTCATGTATAAGCCTCTTAGAAACACATATTGTGTCAAATTAGTTGTTCTTTGAAGGTAAACCCACAGCCATTGTAATACACTCTTAATGAGAAGCCATGATGATACACAATTGGGCACTACAAAGCATGGGGGAAGTCTGTCTCAGAATCTGTCTTACTGATCAATAAACAGGACTGGAATTAGAGGTGCTTGGTGTTAGGGACTCTGGAGAATGAAGCAATTTATCAAATGGCAATGATAAACATCCATCCTAGAGAAAGGCAGGTGTTCCAGAATCTAGGAGTTGAGTAGAAATGAAGCTGATTGAAAAATCTCCTTGTATGGAGAATTTTTAAAAGATAGTACTTAGTTATGGAGTGCTTAAGATAATACTCTCCATGTGAGCACAACATTATGCAAGATGGGTTGTCTCTCCCCATGCAAAGCTATGTGGAACTTGCAGAAAATTCTAGTGACCCAGAGGGGACAATGTCCCTGAGGTTGGATTGCAGAGCCCAACAATCAGGGTTATAGAGTTGAACAAAATCATTTGAGAAATAGAGCTGATTGCCTTCACTTTCTTGTGCCCACATCTTTTCCCAGAGGAATACATACTGAGAGAGAGTCACGCCCAGCAACCTCAGGGAACACACAGCAAGGAGCACTCAAGAGACCAACATTTGAAGGAACATGAAATATAAGGAGGGAAATATATTGAAAGTAGATGTGACACTGAAGAAGAAGCTACAAGTCTGAATGCCATCAGAACAGTCAGGTAGTAGGCAGGGATGCTACAATAGAGATGAGAGTAGCTGAAGAAGAGGACAAGGAAAGGGTTTTGACCTTTCTTAGGTGAGGTCTATTAAAATTTTAGAGGAAAACTCTAGGGACAAAGGTATAGATGTCCCCCATAACCCATTAACATTTTTCAGTGACTTTAGAGAACCATAAATTATCTGTATTGTAGGTCTTAGAAAACACCTGTTCAAAACTTTTTATTTTAGAGAAGTCGAGGTTATGTAAGGAGAAGTTGCTTAGCCCGCATGCATTGCCAGTTAGTGACAGAGCAAGTTCACAAATTCCTGACTTAAGTAAGGCTCTTAAAAAAAAATAAAAATAAAAAATAAATAAAAATAAATAAAAAACTACCAGGAGGTTCTGACCTCATGGTTTTCCTTCGTGAGAATTCCTTGTGCACATCTCATTTGGAGATTATATTTTCAAAGGCATAATGTGTCCACTGAAATAAATTATCTTCAGGCATCATGGACCTGCGATATCAGAGACACTTCTTAGAGCTTCTGCATTTCTTTTATTTCCCACCTTTTCTTCTTCTAGTCCTCATGAGAACTCTATAAACTATGAAGGGGAGTTCTGAAAGATGCCTCAACAGTCAGTTTTAAAGGATGACTACCATCCTTTCTCCAGAGCCAAGTATAGCTTTTATTTTACCATTAGAAACTATAGGAAAGATAGAGGTAGGAATTTTTCTCTCTCTTTTGTACTGATGGCAGAGTAGGAAATAAATCCATCTAGAACCTAATATCATAGCATATAAAAAATGAACTGCAATCAGGAGCCTTGATTTCTAGTTCCAGCCCTGTCAACAGCAGATTCTAGGATATGGTTTCAACTTTTCTACCTTTGATGCTGTAGTTCCTCTCTTACAAAATGGAACCATTGGTGAGATAATATCCAAGTTTCTTTTAATTGTTCACATTCAGTGTTCTTGAAACTAGAAAATTTTCTGAAGAGAAGAAAAATACAGAAGTAGTAGTTATTTTATCTTTCTCTCTTGTTCTCAGGAATTATGGATCATGTCAATCACACATGGACTCAAGTGTTCATCCTTGCTGGTTTTACTATCACTGGAACCCTGCAGCCTCTTGCATTCTTGGGGATCCTGTGCATCTATCTCTTCACCCTAGCAGGAAACTTGTTCATTATCATCCTGGTTCGAGCAGATTCTGGACTTTTCACACCAATGTACTTCTTTATCAGTGTCCTCTCCTTCTTGGAATTCTGGTATGTCAACACCACAGCGCCCACACTGCTGCATACCTTGCTCCATGGATGTTCACCCATCTCATCAGCTGTGTGCTTCATCCAGCTGTATGTCTTCCATTCATTGGGCATGACTGAGTGCTATCTGTTGGGTGTCATGGCTCTGGATCGCTACCTTGCCATCTGTCACCCACTCCACTATCATGCTCTCATGAGCAGAAAGTTACAGTTATGGTTAGCAGGGGCCACTTGGGTGGCTGGCTTCTCAGCTGCACTTGTACCTGCTAGCCTCACAGCCACTCTGCCCTTCTGTTTGAAAGAGGTAGCCCATTACTTTTGTGATCTGGCACCACTATTACAATTGGCATGTGTGGACACAAGCTGGTATGTTCAGGTCCATGGGGCAGTGATTGGAGTGGCCACTGGGTGCAACTTTTTGTTCATTTTGGGGCTCTATGGGGGTATCCTGAGAGCTGTGCTGAAACTGCCCTCAGCTGCCAGCCGTGCAAAGGCTTTCTCCACCTGTTCCTCCCATATGACTGTAGTGGCACTCTTTTATACTTCTGCCTTTACAGTTTATGTGGGCTCACGTAGGATTCACCCCGAGGGCATGGAGAAATGTATTGCCTTGGTATATGCTCTTTTTACTCCTTTCCTCAATCCCATTATATATACCCTTCGTAACAGGGAGGTGAAGGAAGCCATGAAAAGGGTCACTGTCAGAATCAGGACTATTTTAAAGGCACCCTGACAAACTCTATTGTTATAGCCCAGCTTTTTGGTAACTGTAGAATTCATCCAGTTGTTTAGTTAATCATCTTGTCAGAGTAAAAGTAAACATCAGTGAAAGAATCAATCAGATCATTTGTCAAACATACTGCAAACACCCACTCAAAAAGACAGTCCTGGATTTATCAGAGTTCGAACATATAGAGAGGAAGTATGTCTTTGATTTCATCCTAATGTAATGGGGGAGAAGTGACACAAGGAGGTAAAAAATCAGAGACTGTTTTGCTAAATTTATGACTTCATGCCATACTGGGAGAAAGAAGACCAACTAAAGCTTAGAGTGAATACTTTGGTCAAGATAGAATTCCCAGAGAAAGATTGAAAATGTGAAAAACAATATTAAGAACAAGAAGACTAAACTTATAACTTGTGTAAATTTTAGATGTGAAGCAGTGATCCATGGGCAGAAAGTTTATCAAAGTAGATTTCGGTGATCCAGGTCTATCTTGTGATCAAAGGTAGCTTAGTGAAGGAGAGAATGAGCCTATTGGGCATGCGGCTGGAAGCTAGAGAGAATAATTACTCTCCAATGAGGCAAGAATAGGGTATTGGAAATAAGGGTGTTGTCTGAGTTCATTTTTAATATCATGGAATATACCCTGAAATTATCTGGAGCCAAGCAGAAACAACAAACGAGCAGCAGAGAAACCAAATGCTTTGCAAATCTTGTATATAAAGCACACATGTACAAAGTAGAAAGCAGATTGAAATTTAAAATTTGAATAAAGATAGGGACCTAAAGTTCTAATCACATTCTATCTTTTCTTTTCTCTTCCCATTCCCCAACTACTTCCTCTGTTGAGCAGAGATTGAAAACTAATTCTCGGGTTCAAATTCCATGCTTTAGTGATGTGTGAATTGAAGGTCAAATACCTGCCAAAGGATGTCAGAAAATTAGTGAGAAAGACAGGACCAAAATCTCCACAGAGATTAGGCAATTGTATAGGTTTTAAACACTTTATCTACTTCTCATTCTTATATAAGTAAGTGCTAAAATATAAACTATTATTTTTGTATGTCTGCCTTATGCCAGGAAGTGATAGCTGCTTTCACAAATGCACTTTTTATTTAATCCTCATACTATCCCCCTGAAAAAGGAAGACCTAATCCAATATTTACATAATGAAATTACAAGGATTACTGGATTTGCTGTAAAGAGACATGAAGTTAATCCTAGATCCACTTCAGCAGGCTGGTGGCCTAGGCAAGACCTTCTCAGCCTCATTCTTTCCAACTGCCAAAGGAGAGGCTGGGGGTGGATGACTACTTACATCCCTTCCTGCTTAGGGAGTTTAATTCCATGATTTCAACATTTCTTAAGGAAAGCAGAATCTGAACTAGACCCAGATGAGTAAAATCTAAGCATCCAGAACAGAGAGGAAAAAAGATTGGTACAAATCCAAGTTTTGCCACTTTTTGACTATGCGATCCCAGACAAAAAAGAAAATAATTTTTCTCTGACCTCAATTTTGTCTTTCTTTAAAAAAATTATATAACAAAGAGTTCAAAAGTTAAATGAAATAACACATGCTAAGTTTTCAATACATAAATTAGACTCATCATCTCAGAGACAGGGCAGTGTAGTAGTTAGAGTGTGGATTTTGATGCCTGTCTGCCTGGGTTCAAACATTAGTTCCACCATTTACTTGCTGTGTGATCTTCAGCAATGCACAGCTGCCTGTGCCTCAGTTTCCTGATCTATAAAATGAAAACAATAATGGATCCTTAAGCACAATTAAATCTTAACCATCATTACTTCAAAAGTTTTCACATACATCTATAGTGAGGATTTCTTGAGAAAGCTTGCATATTTATAATATATTCCATTTTTATTATGTATGAAGTCAATAGAAATATTAACATTCCAAGTGAAGCATCTTCTTTTGATCACTGTCCAAAGTCAGCTTTGCATAACCTGAGGAATGCTCCCTGCTCTCATGAAGTATATGTTGTTTCCCTAAATGCACAGTGCAGTACTGCATTCTGCTGGCCTGTGTAGTCTATTGCATTTAAGCTATGACCTTTTCTCTCCTCTTTTCACTCTGACAGTTCTTTTTGAGGTAGTAGTTGTGGTGGGCACAACAAAAACTACTGAGGTGGCAGCACCAAAGAATGGTTAGAAGTTCCTTATCCTTGCAATGGCTTTAATTAATAACACATTAATTAATAGCACTATAGGTCTCATCTCTGCGGGGTCTATACCACGCAGTAAGCCTGGGGCTTACAATCCTGTTTTGGAGACATAAATAGTTAACAATTCAAGGCAGCATCATTGACTTTTAGTACAGTGCTTGGTTTTCATTTATGAACGAATGAATAAATGAATGAATAAACTCTTAACAATCAAATGAGTGTAATAGATAGTAAGTACCTCTCCTAAAACTCCACCAGTAGATAGTCTCTTTCTTAGAACTATTCATAGCTTTGAACTCCCCTTGTCTTTCATTTTACAATCTTTTCTCTCTTGCAAACTCCTGAGGTCCTTTCCTTTATAATATGACACTTAGATCATCATTAGTGCAGGTTCCCAACTGATATATATAACAGGAATGCTGAGTAACTGATGTTCCACCCCTAATGCATGCCCTTTGAAGTGTCAGATAGGGCCTGAGGGAATTGGAGTCCCTGACTGCCTCTTCCTGTTCACCTAAGGGTTCTCTACACATTTATCACTTTTTATATGTGTTATGTGTGGGTAAAAAAGTTTGAGAAGCAATGACTTAGGGTGCATAAGTGCCTAAGATAAGGCCCATCTTATGGCTGCTTCTCTCCTGGTGACATTTGGACAACGATTCTAGCAGGAGAGATGAGAATAAGCCAGGACTGAAATACACCATAATCAGATTATACACTGCACTATCATTGAGGTTAAAATTCTATCACATAGAGTGTTTATATGGTTTTTTGTCCAAACTGAAATACATTAGAGAACAGAAGAAGGTGTTATCAATAGCAACTCAGATACAATATCAGAGTTGTCTAGGGCAAACAAGAACATATGACCACAGCATACCACTGAACTAACATAATTGTATGTATGTATGCATGTATGTATGTATGTATGTATGTATGTATGTATGTATGTATGTATGTATGTATTTAATTTATTAGTGGTGATATTGGTTAATAAAATTATATAGGTTTCAAGTGTACAGTTTAGTAATGCATCATATGTATATTGCATGTGTGTTCACCAAAGTTAAATTTCTTTCCATCATCATATATTTGACCCCCTTTACCCTTTTCTACCTCTCTTTAACATGATTTTCTAAATAAAATTTCTTTGCTTCAACAAATAATACAACTAGAGGGTTCAAAAATCAAATCGATCTAAAAGTATTAACATAGAGAAGTCTTGCTACTCCAATTTCCCAATCTATTTGCTCCTCTCTGTTTCCGATCCTAACCCTGATAGATCTTTCTTAATAATATTTCCTCTATGATTATAATGTTATTATATGCAAAACTCACATATAAGAATATTTTATAATCCCCTATTTTTAAGTTTAAGGCTTCATACTATACACTTTTTTCTGACTTTGCTTTTTTTTTTCTTAATAAGAAATCTTGGAGATTTTTCATTTCCCTGTAGAGAATGCTTCTTGCATTTAAAAATAGCTCCATTGTATTTAATTATGTTTAACTTGTCCTCTATTGAAGAACTCTTGGGCTGCTTCAGATTTTAGCTATTAAATACAGAACTACTATAAATAACCTTGTATATACATCATTTCATATCTGTGCATACAGATTCCTAGAAATGGGATTCCTGGATCATGTAATTTAGGTAAATATTTCTAAATTTTTCTCAAAAAGGATTATGTCATTTAGTTTTTCCACCAGGAGTGGATGAAAGTATGTCTCATAGTGACTTTGTTTTCCTACAGTGACTTTTATAAAGTGTTTTCTCAAACTTTTGGACCTTTGTAAATATAAAAACTGAGAAATGGTATCTTGTTGTAGTTTTCAGTTTCAAATTTATTTGTGTATGAAATTGAAATTTTTTCTTATGTTTAAAACATTTATGTACTTTTAAAATGTAATTAGCTCATTTGAGGGTCTGTTTCCCAAACTCTACAGTAAATATCTTAAGGGAAAGGACCATGCTTTATGCATCTCATTTTCCCCAGTTCCTAGCATAAGGCCTGGGCATAAAAAAGATTTAAAAGATGTTTTAAATAAAGGAATAAATGACCTTCATTTCTTATATTTCTCATATTATTTGGTTATACTTGATGTAATTTTTCTAACCTTTAAATCAATTTTTAAAGAATGCATTACATAGAAATATAGCACATAAAATGTTTAGATGAATAAAATGTTAAAATCACTTATAATACCATTACCTTAAAATAATTAATAATGTGTTTATTTCTAATTTTTACTAAACAGATACTTGTTTCAAATATTAACAATGATACTGTGAATTTTCAAACATGTGAATCTTACCTTTTCACTTAAGTTTTAAGTAAAGATAGTTTTAGATGCCATATTTCTCCCAAAATCATCACTTAATGGAGTCATGAGGTCTTATTTCTTCTCTCATTCCATTTCTGAAAGAGAATAAATGCTAGATAAGCACTTTCTACTAAAAGTTAATGACGTAAAGAAGAAGAAACACTTTTTTATCTAGGAAAGGCCTGACTATATTTGGAAGGCTCCAATTCTTTAGTATATTTTTCTGATTTCTGCACTACTGATTCTAGATAATTCTATAGTTCCTATGCTCAGGTATTTATATAATATAGATAGCCTTTTTATCTCTTCAGTTAATGCCAAGACATACAGATAAACAATTCAACACTACAAAGGAAGAAGCAGGTCTGTTTCAGAGTCTGGTTCATAAAAGGAAGATTTAGGAATACCAATGTGATATGAATCCATAAGGAACTAAAAATAAGTAATGAAGTGGCACTCTGAGTACATAACAATTATTCAATTGAAGAGACTAGATAGATGGCT